TAAATCGCCTTCATGCATGAATGAATGATATTTTTTGCAATTTTACACATAATAATCCACGATGATCACATTACACAAAACTGAAATTGCACGTCAAAATAACACATTGTCAATATTTTTTGAGACCCCCCAAAATTTCACAAATCACGTTTTCAGGGGAGCCCATGTCTTATTAAGGGGAGCCGAGCTCCCCCTAGCTCCCCCGTAGTTCGCACCCTGGCTACAACCTTACCTACTATCAATAAGCAGCAAATTAGGAGTTTCTTGAGAGAAATCTCATAGTTAATAGTGAATATGTGTTCCTTAATCTAAAGTGTTACCAAAATTATTTGTTTCATTTTTAATTAATAATAATTCTTTGTATTCTTATATGATATTTACTCATATAGTATTACATTTACATTCAGTCATTTAGGAGATGCTTTACTTTTATCCAAAGTGAATTACAAATGAGGGAAACAGAAGCAATCATAACCAACAAAAGAGCAATAATATGTAAGTGTTGTGACAAGTCTCAGTTAGCCTAAATAAAAAGAAAACATGCAGACAGAATAGAAAACGAATAGAGAACGCCAGTGTTAGAGGGTCTTTTGAAAAAAATAAATAAAAAGAAAAGTCGAAAGAATAGAAAAAGAATAGAGAACGTCAGTGTTAGAGGGTCATTTTTTATAATAAATAAAAAAGAAAACAAGTAGAGAGAATAAAAAAGAATAGAGAATGTGTTAGAGGGTCATTTTTTATAATAAATAAAAAAGAAAACAAGTAGAGAGAATAAAAAAGAATAGAGAATGTGTTAGAGGGTCATTTTTTATAATAAATAAAAAAGAAAACAAGTAGAGAGAATAAAAAAGAATAGAGAATGTGTTAGAGGGTCATTTTTTATAATAAATAAAAAAGAAAACAAGTAGAGAGAATAAAAAAGAATAGAGAATGTGTTAGAGGGTCATTTTTTATAATAAATAAAAAAGAAAACAAGTAGAGAGAATAAAAAAGAATAGAGAATGTGTTAGAGGGTCATTTTTTATAATAAATAAAAAAGAAAACAAGTAGAGAGAATAAAAAAGAATAGAGAATGTGTTAGAGGGTCATTTTTTATAATAAATAAAAAAGAAAACAAGTAGAGAGAATAAAAAAGAATAGAGAATGTGTTAGAGGGTCATTTTTTATAATAAATAAAAAAGAAAACAAGTAGAGAGAATAAAAAAGAATAGAGAATGTGTTAGAGGGTCATTTTTTATAATAAATAAAAAAGAAAACAAGTAGAGAGAATAAAAAAGAATAGAGAATGTGTTAGAGGGTCATTTTTTATAATAAATAAAAAAGAAAACAAGTAGAGAGAATAAAAAAGAATAGAGAATGTGTTAGAGGGTCATTTTTTATAATAAATAAAAAAGAAAACAAGTAGAGAGAATAAAAAAGAATAGAGAATGTGTTAGAGGGTCATTTTTTATAATAAATAAAAAAGAAAACAAGTAGAGAGAATAAAAAAGAATAGAGAATGTGTTAGAGGGTCATTTTTTATAATAAATAAAAAAGAAAACAAGTAGAGAGAATAAAAAAGAATAGAGAATGTGTTAGAGGGTCATTTTTTTTAAATAAGAAGAAAACGAGTTAGAATAAAAAATAGAATAGAGAGTAGCCTATATAGTAATATAATAGTATATATTAATATATAGTTTATATATAATTCTATAATATATATTATTTCATATAATAAAGTTACTCTTATATATATATAATAATTCCATCTGAGAAATAAAAGCAGACTCAACAGACTAATACATTTTTAGTTCATACATATATATATATGCGATATAAATGCAATACTATTAATTTAAAATTTTCTTTATACATAATTATGTGTGATTTTATTTTAATATTATATTAATAATATTACATATTACGAATCTGATGAGAAATGTTTCGCTTATATTAAGATGTCTTTTCTTGAGCACAGTTTGAGACATTTTTGGGATCTTTTCTAAAACTCGAACTAGATTACTAAAGTCAGTTTCTCAGAATAACACGCATGACACAGCAAGCTCCAAGCAATAGTCTAATTTTGCTCTCCGTTTAATCTAACCCTTGTCTAGGAGAAACAAAAGAAATGTCATTTGTGATGGGCTATAGACTGAATATTTACATTAAATCAAACTAAACGAAACAGACGCATTTGAACATCTGCAGTGTTCTCTGTGAGCTCAGACCATATCAAGTAGCAGAGCCACACAGTAAAGCAGCATTTGCATGCATGCGTCTCTGTCGCTCTCAGGACACTGCTGCTGTCCTCCGCATGCTGCCCTTGCAGAAGCACAACTCACAGAACGCATCGCATTCCTTTATAAAGCACACCGCAACAATCAGATTCCACGCTGGAGGAAAGTACAAGTTCAATGCAAAGTGATTGAGTTAAGGTTAAGTACGCACCGGCTGACGCTGACGCCACGGAAGGCTGGAGACAGGAAGCGAGGATGCACGCGAGCAGATTTGAAAGTACTATCACATACATGATTCATAGCTGGTCTTTGGAATAGCGTGAGATTAACGCATGGATGCGGTGACTCGCTCGGGGCTCATTGTCCTTGATGGTCCTGATGCTGCGGCGAGTGAAGGCGGTGGCCAGCCCCAGATCTCCGCGAGCACGCTCCTGATAATGATGCGCTCGCGCAGGTGCCGTGCATCTGCCCACTATACCAGCTGATCCACTATGTCTACACTTATTAGCATAAGATACATAGAATTAAAATATATGGAACTATGTATGCAATAATTGCATAGATAAGATTATACGTGTATTGTACACAGTTCATATAAACATTTATCTTTGAATAATGTTATCCAGAGTTCTATACTCTCTCTCTGTTCATACTAGGCCTACTTCAAGAATCATATTCTGTAGAATTTCTGTTCGGCAGTATACAGTATATAAAATGTATGATCTATGTATAATTTCATGTATAAGTATAGCTACCAGGGTTACTGTCATGACGACCCTGAGATTCATACACTGAAGGTCTGAACTGAGGTTGTTACGCCACTGTCTTTGTATTATGTTTGATCCAAATATCAGCCGGGCTATGATTCAGCCACAGGAAATTACAATCATGCTGAAGAGACAAACAGAAAATGTATGAGTTCAAGAGTTCAAAAATAAATTAGTTCCCCAATAACCCCCCCCCTGTTGTAAATTTATTTACAACAGAGCAGCACAACCCAGATGTTCGTTGAACATTAAAGCATGTCAACATATTCTGTTACACCAAATACACAAAATAATGATCTTTAAAATAGCATCATATGACCCCTTTAAAGCTACACTACAGAAGATTTTTTGTTGTAAAAATTAAATTTTTTTGAGTGACAGGCTCACCAACAGGCTTTGGTGATGTGATCCTTTTTTATTTCCAAAACAGTGCATCAAAAATAAATAAATAAAAGAATCACAAATTTGCACACCAGAAAGGATCAGAAATTGTATAACAACATATAATTTAAATGAATTTTCACAGATTTCTAATGTTGTGTCTACATATTATTATAAGATGTAATATATAATGTATTTATATAATGTCACATTTAGTTTTGTGTTTGTTTGCTTAGTGATTCTTTTTTATATTGTTGCATTCTGTTGTATTTTGTTCCTTTCTCCTTTTGTCTATTATATTCCTACAGTATAGAGTAGTAGAGTTTTAGTATTTGGTTGTCTAAATTCGTTTTTATGTGAATGGTTTGTTGTCCTACATTTCCCTGAGTTCAGTAATCTTCTTAATAAACATATAGGTACTGCTGCATCTGAATCCTGCTTCCTCACTGCACTTCAATACAATCTGTGACAAATGTTTTTTTTTTTAGAAGTATATAGCTACTACTTCTAATAAAAATAATTTTCATTGCATATAATGCATTTTTATTATATTCTTTCAGGATCACATCACCAAAGCCTGTGTGTCTGTAGTTGCCTGTGTGTCACCAAAGCCTGTAAATGGCGCCAGCGAACATCCGATGTAAACTCACATTGTGTTTATTAATTTTACTGCTTAGCTAACTGTGAGGTGACACTGCAAAGTATATTTTTCAAGTGTTTATATGTGTAATCGCTTTGCTAGTTGAATTAATTCGTTACCATACAAATAAATAACCGCTCCGGCGCTCCCGCGGACGGTTCGCTCGCGCGCAGGTAACGTTACTGCGAGTGTGGATAAACAAATATTGAAGTTACAGGGGGCTTTATCATGATATCAAAAAGTAATTACTGATTGCTTATTAATATGATAATGTTTTGTAATGGTGCTTTCAGTCATTGATTTAATTATTTTCTCAAAACTGTTAAATTAGATAAAATAAAAATATTTAGGTGCCTTTATTGATTTTGCATTTATCAAATATTTTTGTTGTATAGATTTGATGCTTAGTTATAATGTGAGTTTACTTTTATAAGCCACTTTTTTGTGTGAAGTTATGCTCAGTAATGTTCCAAAGTGCTGTAAAACAAAAGATTAATCTTTTTGTTTCAATTTGAAAGTTGTTTGGTAATGTAGTGCAACAACAATAAAATTTATTTCACCAGAAAATACTAATGTGACGCGAGTCATGAGATATAAATGAGAAAACCATAAATACAACACTTTTTAGTCTTGCTAAAATAGTAAATTTCTGCTGCATCATGAATAAAATCAGGAATCTGGTTTTGAGTGAAATAAGTATTAATAAATATATGTGTTAAGCATTTATAACATGTTAGTTAAAAATGGCTCACTATTTGGCAGGTATTGCATTAAAATCAGCTTTTTATTCATGCATTTATAACTGCATATCAATGATTTATAATGCATTTGTAAGTGAGTTATTAGTCATTTATTAACACCTTTATAATCCCTTTATAAAGGGAACCTTAATGTAAAGTGTTACCCATGTTTATGGCATGTCCATCGTTTACTTCATGTTTACAGCATGTTACATCAACACAGAAGAAGGTCTGGCTACTATTAAAAAATGTATCCCAGTTCATCCTAAACTGGGATGAAAAGGGCTTGTTCAGTTGTGACAGCAGTTCAGGGGGTGTCATACACACACTATGTGATGACAAAGTCCTCTGAAGCAAATCATGTTAAGGTTTTAAAACAGTCAAATGTTATGCATAGTTTGTGATTGTGATGTGTTTTGATGCGGCAATGGATCGGGTAAAACAAAATCATAACATTTTTTAGGGCAAGAACGCTGACATTGTTCCAGTTTGTTAACCATCTGTTGGTCAGCTGCGATGGGGTCTTATTGAGACATATATTTATGTCATTTTAATAGGGAATTTGCCCTTTAAAGTGCAGTCTAGAAGATTAAAACCATGTGTTATATTTAAGGTTCCTATCCAATGGCAGGTAACAAAGACAGCAAAGGGAAAGGGAAGAAGAGGACAGATTAGAAATAAGGGAAGACGTAAATCAGAGGAAAATAAAATTATGAATAAAAAAATACAGTTTGTTGGCATGCAGTTTATTAATGAAATGCTGTTGTGGCAAAATAATAATAATAATAATAATAATAATAAATAAAAATAGGTGTCCCACTCTGACAAGTTGTCCCAGTCTGAACAATGATGCATTGGGGTTTATGAATAATTTTAAGTCAATATTATTGTAATTAATATATATTCCTTTTTATCTAAATAGTAGGGTGGAGATAATTAGTTATTTAAAATCATATTTTTTGTGAGTCTAAGCCATTTGGCATTATATTTCATAATGCTAATAACCAATTTTCAAAAAGTGTCCACTTTTACCTATTAACCATATATATTATTTATGTGACATCCATCTGAAAAATATGCACAATCATATCAGAATCAGATGTGTAAAATGTGTAATATTATGTTAAGGCAAAATATTTTAGAAATGAACGGAAATGTTGAGAACTTTTTATGAATAGCGGTGTTCATGAAGGCCTATGAGCTATTTAATCAACAACGTTTAAATTTCGCTCTACATCTGCAGTTCCTAAGCCAAGGCATAGGAAGTGACTCACAGGCATCCCTTAAGGTTTGAATTAAATCACATATACATCCTGTTCATGTAAGACCACACTGAACTGCAGCAGGGGGCAGTGGCTGCCCAAAATATAGATCTGTGTACTGACAGATTGCAAAGATTAGAGCTGATTACAAACCACAGACATATGTAGGTCATTTGTATACACTAGACTTGTGCCGGTATTCGGTAATGCGATATTGAACTGTGAAAGGCCTATATCTACTAATGTAAGAGACTAGGTCTGTAAAATGCTTTAACTGGTCATTAGACTGTCAGAAAAATAAATGTGCCATTTCTGTGATGCAAAGCTGAATTTTCAGCATCATTACACCAGTCTTCGGTGTCACACGATCCTTTAGAAACCATTCTAATATTCTGATTTGCTTCTTAAGATACATTTCGGTAACACTTTATTTTAAGGTGTCCTTGTTACACATGTTACATGTACTTACTATAATATTAACAAATAATTATGCATAATTACATGGAAGTAACCCTAATCTTAACCCTAACCATATAGTAGCCTAAGTACATGTAGTTAATTAATATTACTCAGTACTTAAATGTATAATTACACTGTAACAAGGACACCTTAAAATAAAGTGTAACCTACATATCTTACTATTAGGCGTATCAGTGTTGAAAATAGATGTGCTGCTTAATATGTTTTGTAGCAACTGTGATATATTTTATTCAGGATGTTTTCAAAAGAAGTCTAGAGGTTGTAAATACATTATAAATATATTTACTGTCACAAAATTATTTATTTGTTTTATGTGTAAAAGTATTTATTTGTGTCAAAAATGGACGCGACAATTTACACGGCTTTACAGCTTCCAACTAATGGGGGAAGCATTTGCGTAAAGATTTGAGGGTTGCGACCTACTCTAGCGAACAACATCCTCGACAACAAACAAGGTATGGTAACGCTTTTATTACAGTATATTTTATTTTATTTAACTACTTTATTATAAAACCGTATTCTGGTTACGAACTGTTAGGCTAACCGTTTTCCAGTGAATTTACCACAGACGCACTAAATGCATCAAACTCATTAAACAATGAAAGTCCTTCAGTCGCTGTTTTTATATCATTTTAAATTTGGCAAAAACAACAAGTTCTTGACGGTTTAGATTCAATAGATGTTGATTTATGGATTTTTTTTTTTTTTTTTTTTGTCATAATGGTTTTGTAAAGAACTACCAGTGAATGTAAAGTTCTTTGAGAAACTTAAAAAGGTGCTTTAGTGGCATAATCACACCATAAAACCTTGTTTGGGTTCTGATTTTATTTGGCAGGGCAGTCTATGAAAACATCTCTGCCCTTATTTCTCAAGTTTTGATTCATTCTGCAGCGGTGTGTCATAATTAGCTTTCTATATAATATCAGTTGTTGCTCATTGCACTGTGTGCATGCAATGACAGCTCAGTTGTGACATGAACTAATTTGTGTTGACCCCATCACAATGGCAGTCACGTTTCTTAACAGATCACATTTCCAGAGAGAGAAAAATCCTACATCTCTCTTTAGGATCATAAAGTCCTCTGGAAGCACATATGGAAAGATCCTGCAGAGAAACATTCCTGTTGAGTGAGAGGTTTGTGAGTTAGTGACAGAGCAGAATCATAAAAACCTTCTGTGCGCATGCTGGCAAAACTCTGGCCACAGACCCCAGTGCTCCTGAAGGCACAGAAAACAAAACACGGGAATGATTTTATGAAGGGACAAAAGTGTGTGTGTGTGTGTGTGTGTGTGTGTGTGAGTGAGTGAGTGAGTGTGTGTGTGTGTGTGTGTGTGTGTGTGTGTGGAAGTGCATACTCAGTCCACATCCTTTCTTTGCACTCCTCCTTCACCTCTCTTACCCTCTATCTCACTCTCTCTCTCATTCTGCTGCCAGAACAATAACAGGGAAACACCCATCAGGGATATCACAAATCTTTTTGTGAAATCGACACAGGAATTCTTGCAGAGGAGCTGAAGTCTGTGAGCAGGACGCTGTCAGGTAATTCTCTAACTCTGAAATGTCTTTCAAAGAGTGTGTTTGGATTGAGGCGCCTTGATAGTTGCAAAATCTGGGATCAATTTTGATCTAGGCCTACTCAGAGAGAATAACATGTTCAATATTTTCATGTTTTAGACATAAAGTAGAGAGACTCTGTTATAAGTCTGTGTGTCTGTTAAAATACTTCTGTGCGATTCACAGAGGAAAGTGGTTGCTCAGGTGTGGCTCTTTAATAACTCAAGTGGCTTATTGGAAATCTGTTATGTTTCGAATATGTGCCAAATTTGCCTTAGAAGGAATAAGAATAGATACAAATGAGACAGTTTTTGACATATAGTAAATGTATTGAGCTAAAAAAATGTGTACTTTTGATTGGAGAATTTAGTATCTTGTTAAATACGAGCGCAGTTTGAAAAATTGTCGAGATGTGTCTATTTTTTAATGCTGAAACTCAGTTTATTAAGCAAAGGTTAAAGGGGTCATATGATGCTGCTAAAAAGAACATTATTTTGTGTATTGGGTGTAATGAAATGTGTTTATGCGGTTTAAAGTAAAAAAAACACATTATTTTCCACATACTGTACATTATTGTTTCTCCTCTATGCCCCGCCTTTTTGAAACGCGTCGATTTTTACAAAACTAATCGGTCTGAAAAGCGAGGTGTGCTCTGATTGGCCAGCTATCCAATGCGTTATGATTGGCGAAAAATTGAAATCGCATCATATGACCCCTTTAATACTTACAGTATTACAGTATTTTTTGTAGGCTGATTCCCCTGAAAAGAGTAAACACTCTGTGGTGCTATTAAAACATTGCTCTGTTTGAAACCTTACAAGACTTACATATTCACTGCAGTTTCCAGCTGAAATTAACATTAGAGGCAGTAAAATACCAACAACTTTTATTCTTGTGCTTGTAAACGAATACATTTTGAAGTAAGCATTTATGATATAGTAAACTTGCTCAGCAGCTCACCTGGTACAGCGCTTGGTATGCATCCTGAGAAACACAAATCATGATAAAAGAGCACAAAGACTTGTAGAAGCAAGCTAAAATGGCATGGTTGCTTCAGCAAATGCATTTTTATCTCACGATTGGATTGGTTAACACTGTTGGTAAGGTTTAGGTTAGGGTTTAGAGTTGGTGCTGCCAAGTTATTTTCAAACGTGAGCATTAAACGTCTATTGCGATCACTTTTACTTTTCCAAAATTTTACAATACGTACAACGACCAACGTAATAAAATGTTGCTGTTTTGCAAATGAAAGCATTTTTTTGCGTCACTCAATAGACACTTCACTTTAAAAGTGTCGGAAAACATGCAAGACATGTTTAGAACTCAGACAACAGATAACTCAGTTTTTATTCATTTTCATAAATCATGTGTTATCATGTTTTTATTGTGTTTTTATTGTGTTAGTTAGCTGTATTTTTTTTAGTTATTATTATTTAATCAAAACAACCCAACTGCAGTTTGATTGATGTTATTTGGAATGCAGGATAAAGAAAACATGATTTTTGAACATGTAAAAAAAAAACGAAGTTATCAGTTTTTCAAATGAACTCTTCGTATCATTTTACAGAAATATTGCCACAGTTCTCGAATGAGCCTAGGTTATCTGTTTACTTGATCATCCCAAGCAGCCCAACCCAGTAGCATTGGCTCAACCAATGGTGTGACAATGGGGCGGGGTTAACTGTATTTAATCAAAACAACCCAACTGCAGTTTGATTGATGTTATTTGGAATGCAGGATAAAGAAAACATGATTTTTGAACATGTAAAAAAACCCCGAAGTTATCAGTTTTTCAAATGAACTCTTCGTATCATTTTACAGAAATATTGCCACAGTTCTCGAATGAGCCTAGGTTATCTGTTTACTTGATCATCCCAAGCAGCCCAACCCAGTAGCATTGGCTCAACCAATGGTGTGACAATGGGGCGGGGTTAACTGTTTAACCGACCAATGTCAAGTGGGGGAGTCAACTTCAACTTTAAGCAAAAATCTCCATTTAATCTCATTAATCTCACAATAGATTTTAAAGAAATCTTATTTGTGATTTTTCTTTCCTATTTTGTTTATAGAATGATGACCCAGGAAGACGGGGACTATCTAAACGGCACTTATGAATACGTGGACTATGGAAATGTGGAGGAGACCAAGGCTGGAGGCTACACTCAGAGAGAAGCTCTTCACATCATATCAGTGATCATCTACAGCCTGGCGTTTACTCTGGGAGTAATCGGGAACGGCCTGGTCATCTGGGTGACCGCCTTCAAAAGCAACCGGACCGTGAACAGCGTTTGGCTGCAGAATCTGGCCATCGCCGACTTTGTGTTTGTGCTCTTCCTGCCATTCTCCATCGACTACGTGCTGCGAGACTTTCACTGGCTCTTCGGGAAGACCGTGTGCAAGCTGAACTCGTTCGTGTGCACCATGAACATGTACGCCAGCGTGCTGTTTCTGACCGTCCTGAGCTTGGATCGCTACATCTCACTGGCCCATATGAGCTGGTCGGAAAGGTATCGAAACGTCCGGAGGGCCTGGTGGGTCTGTGTGCTGATATGGATCACGTCCTGCTGTCTAAGCTGTCCGGCCCTGATATTCCGTGACGTGATCCAGCATAAAGGGAAGGTTGTGTGTTTTAATAACTTTCACGATGAGAGCAGGCACATGATAGCGGTGAGGCACATTGCGATGGTGTCGCTGCGCACCATCGTGGGCTTTCTGCTTCCGTTTGCAACCATCACCATCAGCGGCGTTCTGCTGGCTATTAAGATGCGCCGATCCGACTCGGTACGCTTGACCAGCTTCTCCAGAACCGTCTCTGCCGTGATTCTTGCTTTCTTCTTGTGTTGGGTGCCGTTTCACACGTTCAGCCTGATGGAGCTGAGCATGCATCACACCACCTACCTGCACTCCGTGCTCATCGTGGGCTTCCCACTCGCCACCAGCCTGGCCTTCTTCAACAGCTGCGTCAACCCGATTCTGTACGTACTGCTAACCAAGAAGGTGCGTAAACTGGTGAGGAGGTCGTGTTTGAACTTCACCAAGAGCTCGCTGAGGGAGCTGAGTCAGTCTGTGTCTGCGACGGAGTTAGACTCGCCACTGCCCAGCTGCTCTCCTGAAGAACCCACGGCCAACTCCTCCGTCTGATCAGCTCAGCAATCACCCCTGAACTCAACGAGCTTTGGGCTTTTAGCTTTTGAAATGAAACTTCTAGAGCTCCAGCTGGACTCAAGTAGATTTTGCCAAAGTGGTTGGGAAATACTGGCTTTCATTTCTAATATAGCACATTACAATGTATTTAATGCATTGTCTATTTTATGTCGTACAATTAAAAAAAACATATATAGTTTTACCTGTAACCATAAGAAAATAATTAATATACTTTTCTCTGCAAAGTATTTCTGCACATCTCTGAGAGAAAGATGAGTGATATTTCAGCTCTGTTTGAAAGGATTGTTTAAATTTGAATTTAAATTCATTTGACTTATTATCATGTCGTTTGGATGCACTCCACTGAATCAATAAACTCGCTAATGCTAATGTCTTAGAATTATACTGCTTTATCTATAAATTATTAAATAAAAGCAAAAATAAAATAAATAGCAAAAATCTGAGTTACAGTGAGGAACTTATAATGTAAGTGAATTGGATCAACCCTTAAACATTAAAATACTCAGTGTTTCAATAGTATAGTTTCAATATGTAAACAATATGCATATTAACATGTTTTTAGTGTGAAATATCACAACTTTTTTCTATGTAAAGTTAAATCCAATTTTACAACTTTGTTGGCATGACAATGAAACTTAAAACTCTAAAACAACTACAAAAATGAATTGAAGTTTTATCAGCTTTTAAAATCTTTGAGCCTCATTCACTTCCATTATGCCTCATTATAGCCTTGGTTTTTTATGGAAATGATGGATGAGTAAAAAAAAATTGGGGGTGGGGGGGTGTTATCAGCATTATCACACAAATGTTGTTGACTGAGCTTAACTTGTATTAAACTCTGTATATTTCTTGTAAGTAAAAACAGAAATTTTGAAACTCTACAGATAACTTTCAGTGTACTACTATAGGACAGGTCACATTTTTACCACATATTTTGTATGGTGATTCATCATGTGAGTCAAATTTAGTTATCTTTATTTACTAGAAATATACTGTATAAAAGTAAAAAAGTAGCTGACAAAAATACAAAAAAATAAAAAATAAAAAAAAGCACAGAGCTGGTAAAAATGTAGCCTAATGTTTTAATCAATGGCTACACCTAGAGGAACACAAAAACATTTCCATTGAAATTAGAGCTACACTCTTTACAGATGTAGAGTTTTGTCTTGTTTACACTAAAAACTAAACTAAAGCATATCTGAAAAAGATAGACGCACATGTTTAAACAATGACCAGTTTTCCACACTCATGCATGTTTGAACCTTCATACCTTAAAATAATCACTATTTAAGTCAAAGATACAACAATAAATAGGCCAAAAATTTGAAGTTACACCACAATGTCAGATGTTATTTTTATCAAGCTTGTTTGGGACTGATGATGCTACTGAGAATTTTCACTTCTGCTTAATTTTTTGTGGAATTAAGTATTTTTTAGCCGAAATGTCTGTTTCAGTCTGTTTCAAACAACAGAACTGTCAAAATCTTGTCAAAATCTTGAACAATCCCTGTTTTTTTTATTCCTGTCCCAAACAGAGTTTGTATTGATGTTAGGATAGGAGAAAGTATTTTGCATTACCAAATATACTTTTATTGTAATGTTTTTTATTTAATAAAATATTATCTAAATTATGGTCCATTTATTTACATTTATGTACAAAATATAATGTATTTTATATATTTCATAATATTTTGTTATTTATATAAAAATAACATTTATATATATATATATATATATAATTTAAATGTCCAAACTATAACCAAAACCTTTTATTTAAGCTCCGAAGTTTTGTGAATATCCACTGTAGTTCATTGTGGGGTTCCCCTTTGCTTGTTGCTGTGGAGTTACACAATCATTCAATGTTAGCCAAATTTAAAAAGGAGGAAGAAAAGGAGCCAAACAGCCAAGACAGGTTGCCAAGGAATGAAGCTAGAAATAGGGCAGCAGCAACAGTGGGTTTAACAATGAGAAAAAAAAAACATTACATGAATGACAAAATACATTACATACAAAACCTGCATTCACAAAGAGCTACTCGACACTTTGACACATGTCCCATCCATAACATTAGACAAACAAAACTCAACAAGTGGGCGGGTTTTGCACTGTACAAAGGAGGCACTAAAGAGCACATTCGTATTCATGCCCCATATGGTGACAAGATTTACATCTGTTTAGAGTTTGCATCTCCTCACCCTTATGAAAAAGAGTGTGTGTGTGTGCAGTGCAATGAAAGGAATTCATTTTAGTCTTTAAGATGAAGTTAATCATTTCTTACACACCATTAGCCTCACCAAGTGTTTTTAAAAAGGTTTCTTAAACACTCCCCTCACCTACCATTGGTTATTCAAACAGATAGTCCTGCTCCCAAACTCACGTTATAAGTATTGCTGTTGTGCTGGTCGGTTAAAGGTTAGAATAACTAGTAAATAACAAAGCAGCAGACTGTGAGAGTGCAGCAAGATGAGCCAGTGTGCTGTTCTTATCATGTAAATATTATTTTCATTTAGTACTGCACATTTTGTCCTGTTTTTGAAAACTACAAAATCTAAGCCACAAAATGTTGGACATGCTCTGAGAAAAAAAAAAGTGATTTTGCCAGTGAATTTAGCAACCAAATTCAGGAAATTCCATTACATTGGTTTGATTGAAATCTGGCAACTAAATGGAGGCCAGATTTTTAAGTTTTTCGAGGCGAGTGAAGCAGTATTTTTCCTACAAATTTATGTGCCAACGGAGAAGTCTTGAACAACAACTGGAATGTTGAATAACAAATTTTGCCTTAATTGGAGTTTTCAGTCTTATAACAGATCTTTGGTGCTTTACAAAATAGGGCTTAAAAACTTTTTCATCTTCAAGAATTGGTCAGCCTTTAGAAAATGTTGATCATCAACTTCAGTAGGTCAAACTAAATATTGTATTGTTTGTTCTATTGTCTGTTTCACGATTCCTACAGAGAGGAGCAAAGAACGCGGAGACGAGGGATAATCATAAACAACAGTCTTTAATAATCCAAAAGCAGGGAAACAGGGCAGGCTGGAGACACGTAGCACATCAAGACGTTTAACACCAGACAAAGGAACACAGGGCAGACAACACTTTAAATACGGGTCTAAACTAGGTAATTAACGAGACACATCTGAACCAAATGAGACAATCACACATGGGAGAAACTGGGTCACGGGGAGCACGTGGGGAGAAAAACACACACAGACAGTCCATGGACGTGATATATCGTCCCCCTCCTGGAAGCCACGTCCTCGCGCCGTAGAAACAACAAAGGGAGGGACGGGTGGGAACTAGGGAGGAGGCTCAGGAGGAGAACGGGGACCCGGAAGGGGGCCGGCAGACAGAGTCCATGGTGGAGCCAACAGGGGGAGGAGCCAGGGAAGATACAGGAGCAGCCAGGGCGTACCAGATGGAGCAGGAGGGGCTTGGAGCAGGCGGAGCCATGGCTGGACCCAGGCCACAGCCATGAAGGTGACCCACGGTGGAGCCGACGGAGGGAGGAGCCATGGTGGAGGAAGGGCTGATGACTCTAGGGGGCTGACTGACGGCTGCGGAGCAGGTGGTGGAGGAGCCCGAGGCGGAGACGGAGAGCCGATGAGCCAGGGTACGAGAACGAGAAGGAGCCGAAGGGAAGGAGGAGCCTGACAGAGCCAGAGGGACGGAGGGACGAGTCACAACCGGAGGAGTGGAGTCCCGGGGCGACGGATGGTCGACAACAGACCAAGGCGGAGCCGGAGGGACGAGGGAGCCCAGCGGAGCCAGTGGACTGCCGGGACATGGCGGAGAGGAGGGAGCTAGGAGCCATGGTGGAGCCGCTGGTCGACGGGCCAAGGCAGAGTCTGGGACTCAGAGGCTGGAGGCGGAAGCCAGGGATTCTCCAGCCACGCCGATGATGGAGACTGGCAGACCCGCGGTGCTCGCACCGAACAGATGGTGGGCTGAGGGTGAGCAGAGGGGCTGCCAGACAACAGCGGTGGAGGAGGCAGGAGCGGGAGGGTAGGTGGGCATTTCTGAGCCTCCGGGCTCTCAGGGCTGTAATCAGGAGCAAACTCCCTCCCTGGGCCATATGTTGGAACCGCAGCCCTCTCTGGGCTGGACGTGGAAACAGGAGCCCTCCCGGGGCTGGATATGGAAACAGGAGCCCTCCTTGGGCTAGACTCGGGATCTGTGGCCCTCTCTGGGCAACGTGGGAACCACAGCCCTCTCTGGGCTGGACGTGGAAACAGGGGCCCTCTCTGGGCTTGAGTCGGGATCTGAGGCCCTCCCTGGGCCAGACGCGGGAACCGCAGCCCTCTCTGGGCTCTGGTCAGGGGCTGGAGCCATCACTCGACTCTGGTCAGGGGCTAGAGCCAACAGTCTTTTCCTCCTCATTCTCCTCTTTTGGGCTGAGGTTAAGGAGATTGCTGCTGTCATCATAGGGCTTGGGAGTGAATCAGCCGGCGGGCCGGACGTGGGAATGGAACTGACAGAGGGCTCTGATGAAGGAGAAAGGACAGGGGGCAGGTCGGCCCATAAATCCAATTCGGGACCCCCCTCAGCGTACCATAGTCCCAGATCCACAATAAGCTCACCCTCAGCCATGGTGCATGGGGCGGAGCTCCTCTCCGTGCTCTCGCTGTCCACTGCCCTTTCCCTCGTGGCGGGCGTTGTAGCTGGCTCTCGCACCTGGTCTGATGTTACTTGCAGCTCTAGCTCCGCAGCAATCCTCAGCACTGTCGCTCCGTTTGGCAATGGCTCGTCGGTCGCAGCGGGCTCGGGCTCGGGCTCTCCGTCATCGGTCGGCGAGCTGGCTGAACTCAACCGCATACTCCACAAGGTGCAGGTCCTTATGGGCTAGGTAGACGAACAAAGCGGCGAGGGGATCCATGGGGAAACAATGGGAAACAAAAAACACTGAATGAAACACGGAAACAAAATGGGAGGAAAACATGCCAATAAACTTTTTGTTGGTCCAGAGAGGAGCAAGGAACGCGGAGACAAGGGATGATCATAAACAACAGTCTTTAATAATCCAAACACAGGGCAGGCTGTAGACACACATAGCACATCAAGACGTTTATCACCAGACAAAGGAACATAGGGCAGACAACACTTTAAATACAGGATTAAACTAGGTAATTAACGAGACACATCTGAACCAAATGAGACAATCACACATGGGAAAACCGGGTCACGGGGAGCACGTGAGGAGAAAAACACACACAGACAGTCCATGGGCATGACAGTCTGCAATTTTTTTAAGGGGTTTGCAATTTTTACAAACCTGTAACCAATCTTCACAAGTAACAGGGTTGTAAATTTAGCCTAAATTAAGTTAATAGGGTAAAGCTAGTTTGGTAATTTTTGTTTGTGTATAAATTTATATTCACCATAAATTGAAACAGCGAGTAAAGAAACAAGTTGGTTTGATCATTTTTACACTTATTTGGTTAACAGGCTTGAATGATTAAGATTGAAGTATGACAATGCAGAAATGTACAAGTGGTCCAAATAATGTTATTTCCGGA